GTGAGTGAGTGAATGAGTCAGTGAGTGAGAGTGAGTGAGTGAGTAAGTCAGTGAATGAGAGTAAGTGAGAGAGTGAGTGAGTGAATGAGAGTGAGTGAGTGAGTGAGAGTGTGAGAGAGTGAGTCAGTGAGTGAGTGCGTGAGTGACAGTGTGAGAGTGAGTCAGTGAGTGAGTGAGAGACTGACTGAGTGAGTGAGTGAATGAGAGTGAGTCAGTGAGTGACTGAGTGAGTGAATGAGAGTGAGTGCAAGAGTGAGTGAGTGAGTGAGTGAGTGAGTCAGTGAATGAGAATAAGTGAGTGAATGAGAGTGAGAGAGTGAGTCAGTGAATGAGAGTGAGAGAGTGAGTCAGTGAATGAGAGTGAGTGAGTGAGTGAGTCCTTAGGGGGCTTTTTCTGTCCCGCCACACACTTATTTTTAACTCTCGTTTGTCTTATAAATCTCAGCGTAGACAGCACTTTTTCTGAGACCCTTCCCGGAGCCTTTGAAACTTGATTAGATTCTCTTCCTATGTGTTCCCACACCACTGGGGTTTGCTCACTTTCTGATCTTCCGTGAACTTTTCAGGCTTCCCTAGTGCAAGACATGCGGATTGTTTGAATCTGTCTTCCTGGTGCTGGCACACTTACAGTGTCAGTACCTGTTGAGATAATGAATGAGGGGCAGCTTTGGCACTAAGAAGAATATCTCCTTTGTCATCTATTTTCATGTGCTCCGTGTCGCCCTGGATAGTTGCCAACAGCAGGTATTACTTTCTGTACACTGCACCACATCTCAGAGAGATAAAGTGTACTTGAGGAAGGTGTCTCGCTGTTTATGCTATTGCAACAAATCACCACAGATTTAGTGACTGAAAACAGCACATGCTTATTAGGAGAGGTGAAAGGATGATTTCACCCTAATGTTTGAACTGCAAGTGAGAGAGGGGTCGATTCCCAAAGGAAAACTACTGAGAAGAATGAAGGAAAAGAAAGATCTAAAGGTGAGTTTGAGATTTATAGCCCCCACCGGAAGGAAATTTATGGCAGTAACCCAGATCTGGACACAAGAGCAAGAAGAAGGCTTTGGAGTGGGAATGGTGCGTTCGCTTTTTAATACAGGTGAGGTACCACTAGAACATCCATATGTAATTTACAACACCAGTCAGCCTGGAGATGAGAACAGAGAATGCAGGTGTCGCCGTCGTCTGGCTGGAGCTGAACATAAGGACCACTGGGGAAGATGAGCTCACCACATCTTTGTGGCACTGTGTGTGCTCTAGTGACCTGCCTGCAGTCTTCTCCAGATGCGCTGCCTCTTGCCCTAGCTGTGTAGTGTTAGGGTCTGCTGCGTTCTCTCTGTGTTTAACTCTCGGTCCCAGCACTTGAAGACGCCTCTGAGCTTGTAGCAGCTGAAAGTCTGGTACGGTTACTTCTCGGCTGTTTCCCTTCCTTTTTCTGTATCTTGTAATCTGCCACATCATCTCTCTTGGCCTCCCCTTTCACGTGACTGCTGGTGATTCTGCACCACCTGGACCTAGTTTTAGGGGTGAATTTAAGATTGGCCTCAAGGGAGCAGCAAGTCCTCCAGATTAAAATGATCACCCTTCATCACCACCATGAGATAGCTCGATTTTGAGGCTGGCCTCCATGTGAAAAGTCAAGCGGAGAAGGAAAGATCAGTCATCCTCTGTGCAGAGACAGTGATGTGAACTATGAGACTGGGTCAGCCTTCTGCAGCTAGGCTTTTACAAATGGAGAGGTTGGAGTCCTAGGTGTAAGCTTTTGGACGAACTAGGTTGTAGGGGCAGGAGCGAAGGAGTCAGGGACCCAGATGTCACAGTCACCAAGAGGAGGGCGCTTCCAGGAGGACATCCGCAGAGAGAGCGGTGAGGGAAGTGCGGTGGGAGAAAGACCCTCAGTGGGGAGTGCTTGGGGATGATTTCCGCCAAGGTGGGTAGACTGCTGTGCGGGAAGCCGGTCTCCCCGTCTCGGGTGGTGGGAGAAAGTGGAAGGCAAGGGAAGCGCAACCAGACCAACTAACACATTCGAGCGCTCACGATGTTGGTGGCACTGTGCCTATACGGTTGTGAACGCATTATCATGCTTCTCCAGGAATATCACACCAAGTTGAGACAATGAGGAATTCATGAAAATGTTCATTGCAGCAAATGTAGATGATGCCATTGGTGTGCATGATTAATTGCCTAATGCACGATGTGGACAATAGCGGTATGAAGACTGCTTCAGTGGTAGGAGAGGATGGGAAACTATTGTCTGTCCCTACTTCTTCCGAGCCTAGCAGCCAGCTAGTCCTCTTTTAGTTAAAACCTTCTAATTTTCTATAGGTTTGGAGAGCAGACAATCAAGACTGTTTGATTTTGTAAAGC